ATTATAAAGTAAATATTCTCATAACACATACATATAATTCAAAATGTTAGGATTTGCAAGTTATGTATTGTATTTTATATACAATTTTAATATTGGGTACGGCTTGCAATTGAAGCAGAAGTTAACTATTTTAAAAAAAGGAAATAAAAAATATGAAAATAATAATTTAATGGGTTTCAATAACTAATCTATATACATATCTTCTTATAATACGATGACGACATTGAGTTACCATACAGTTAATCAACATTTAAGACTCGATACCGACAGCTGTCCTGCCGCATACGTATCGTTGTTTTAAAAGTTAAGTTGTCAAACAATGCGTGGAATGAAAAGGAACACTTATCCATAGATCTATCTTCTTTCTTATCAAAACCTCAGCTGATTTAGCATCTATTACCTTATTCCATTAGAAAACTTCAGAGGAGGACCTACGGCAACATATTTTTGTCGATATGATCCTAAAGAGGCTTAGTTTGTTATAGAAACGAAAATCAAGTTGGCTATACTACATTCACATAACAAACCATGATCTTCAAGTTATTCAATAGCAAGCCAGGTTCAATGAGGTTGGGTATTAGCATATCTTATACTTAATTCTCTAACAATAGTACTAGAAAACTGGCATATGAAGCAAGGATTGCGCTTGATACTTTTCTGCATCTAGAGCTATTTATAGAAGCTAAATGTCATCATCTAAAAGCATTTTAGCTTAAACCACACTTTTAAATAATCCTGAAAAAGTAGTATCCGGAATATTAGCAAGGCTTGTTCCTACTCAAAATCTACGGTGTGGAACATATTACATACGTACAGTGCATATCCTTATCCTCCAGTCCTGGCGCTGGAACTAATGCCCGGAGACCAGGAGCGTCGTTTTGATTTTTGCAATTTCGTGCGAAACACACTGAATGGAAATCCAGATTTTTTGAATGAAATTTTGTGGTCGCGGATGAATGCTAGTTCTCGCGGCAAGGCATTATTAATACACAGAATAGGCATTATTGGTCCCTCGAAAATCCACATCTAATACGATCGAATCGCCACCAAGTGCGTTAGTCGAAGAATGTGTGCTGCGGAATATGGAAAAGCACCTTAATTGGCCCAATATATTTCGATGGACCTTTACTATCAGAATCATACACGGAAATTTTATCTTTGGACCGTTAGTCGATTTTTTAGAAGATGAAGTTTCCTTACGGGATTTGTCACGCACGTAGTACCAGCATCATGGTGCCCGCACACAAATCTGCGCAACTATGTACATTTTAGTGCAGACATTTGACACTCGAACAATCGGCTACGGAGGTCAAGAGGTTGCAGAAGCTACAGGCGGAGTTTCTGACGTGGGCCTGGTACTGCATTTCTGCGGAAGGCAGTCATTTTGAACATTATATTAATTTGGTCATTCTGATATAATAAAGCCCCTGATTCCCGATTGGAGCATCATTCCTCATTATGCTATAATTTTAACGGCAAATCATGTATTCTTTTGCTGTTATTTGTTTAAACAAGCTGTTTAAATCTTTTCGGTACAAGTTGCATTTCTTTAATTTTACTTTTATATTTTGCCATATAGCAATACAAATTATCAATATATGATGTTTACTACGCTGCTTTAATATTACTATGATGTTTTTCTTTTGACCTTTCTGTAGATAGGGAATAACTGTTGTCTTAACTCAATTTGTATACGACCCCCTATTCTGAGCAATTAGATGCTTCAAATTTATGTAGGCATAACTTGGTCAGTTTCTATCGTAATAAAATGAAACTTTTTGTGTTTACTTTGTTTTTGTGTACTGCATCTTTTCCTAAATATAATTGATAGGACCTGGAGCCGTATAAAAATTAAATTTTTGTAATTTTTTTGTAAATGGGGTTTTTAGATCGAAAAGCACGTAAAAACATTCTTTACCTTTTTTACAACATTTTTGAAATTGGAAGTGCATGTCTAAAACCGATTGGTTTGGGAATTAGCTATTGGGTCACTTTAAAGCTGGACACACTGTATATATATATATATATGAAAGCAATTTATATAATATATCAAAAACACAAGAAATAATAGGTAATGAACATAACAAGAAAAAACGTAATAAAAATATAAAAGCTAAACATGAGGATTGAATTTCCAGAAAAATACACAAAATAACTACAAAAAAGAACCTAGCGAGTCAGAAAATAATTTCGGACTTATATATGTATATAAATAAGGCCGAATATATATATATATTTAAAGTTTGCTTTAGAATTTCATATAACGCTTTTTTAAAGGAAAGAGTTCGAGATGAAATTCTGGACATATTGCTAATACAATTAAAAAAATTAAATTTTTAAAAAAAAATTCAGAAAACGTTCAAAACAAACTTCTTCTATATTGATTAATATTTTAACTTAAATGTTTTTTAATATTCATAAGAATGCTTTAAACATGTTTTCAGATTGATTTTACAATGATTATTTAGTTCTAGAGAAAGGAAATAAAATGTTGATACGGTGGTTAAACTTCAACAAAAAACCCAATATCTCTTCAACGTTTTCATTTCTTTTTTTCTTTAAAAAAATTACTTTGTTGCAAAATTGATCCCTAATTTTGTTACATATGGTATATATATAACACAAGGGGAAATTAGAAATTATTGTTTAATATTTCTGAAAAGAGTTGCATTTTAAAAGTAATGATGTATAATTCTGAAAAATTAACTATCAAAAAGTTCAATTAACTTCAAAACAAGTTTAAATAATTATTTATGTACTTTACTTTGAAATTATTAAATTTAATATAATTTCATTACTTATTTTTATATAATTGATTATATACTTCTTAAGGAGTATTAATTGCACGCGGTTAACAAGAAAAATTAGGGAAAATGTTAAATATTTAAATATTTATTTTTGTACTAACAATAATTTTTAAATATTTTACTGTTAGGTTTAGAATTTTACAGTTAGAAAATATTAGAATGTTATATTTGCATAAAAACGTATGATGGATAAGAAGTCAAATCATGTAATTAATAATAAATGCCTTAATTAAATATTTTACACACACACACATACATACATTTTACGAGAAAAAGTATTGTAATATCTCAAAAATATCTTGCTTTATGTGCCAAACAATCCTTTTCTTCAGTTGATATGCCTCTTTTTAAAATATTTTTTTTTATATATTAATTTACATTCATGCTGATACCTTTAGTTGTTTTTTTTTTTTTTTTTGCGGTTATTTTTAATCTAGTTGTAAGCAATTTTAATGGAACGCAAGCTTTTTTTCAAGATTATGTGAGCATTTCCTTACAGGAATACACAGTGATTTTTGATTGTATTGATACTTCGCAAAGTACCTGTATTAAACTCAGAAACGGCATAGATTACATCATGTTTAACACGACATTTAGACTCAAATACCTGTTTTGGAGACCACGACCAAATCATGTTATGCAATGTTTCATTTGAGTTTAGTATATTCCACAGTTAAAGTACCTTTCTAAAAGTTCATTAGAAGCAATCCATTAACAAATAGGACGTATGAATGGCAAAAAGCTTTCTATTGTTTGGGTTCCCACACAATGTTCCCTCAATGATATGTTATTCGACAGAAAATAATTGAAAAACTATTTCTAAATAAAAAATAAAAAGGTAATATTTTGGTCATTTTAGGGTACCGAGTTCCTTTAAATCAATATATAGGGACTAGTCTATGAAGGGTACGAAGGCATATTTATTCCCGATCCTAACCACGGGTTCTCTTGCCAAAAGAAAGCGTGGCCTTCTGTGTTATTGATTAAGTAGGAAACACAAAGTAGACAGACGTTTAGCAAAAATCATTGGTTGTAAAGATATCTGCGCATCTTAGCAGCAGACAGTGTTATTACTATTGCTGCACAATAATCTGGCATAAGCCACCGTACAATAAAGCCATCTCTCTTAGGGCCAAAAGATCTATAAAACAATCTTGTACTGAATTGAAATTTGCGGGTAATCTGTAACATGTAATTCTTAAAACTTATTTTTTAGAGTCAAATATATCCACAAATTTTAAGCCATACTTCTATATACATAAAAACATCTATTATAAACTCATCTTCATCCGATAAAAAATCAAAATTAATTTATTTATACATTCAATAAAAAACTTTTCATGTTCTTTGATGATTCCGTCTTGAATCATTATATTTTAATTATTTTAACAAATTGAAAAAATATGAAACAAAGATTTTAAAATATTTATATTTAAATAGTACTTCATATCAAAAATTCTACAGTACTCTAATGTTATCTGACATTAGAAACTTCACTTAATCAGGATTAACCAAGCTAAGTCTATTAAGTGACTACATTGCTTTGTGTTATACTTACAATTTAATTATCCCTTTAACATCTTATATAGGAATGAAACTTGCTGAATTCTTAATCTATAAGCCTGTCTTATTGTCCTGCAGAATAAAACAAAACTTCAAATACCAAGTTGAATTATTTCGATGTTGAGGATTCTCCTAAAGAATTTAACCAATAGATAAACTAACAACAAATTGAATATTTCATGGCAAGAGAATGCGGCTCTAAACAACCAATTAGATCAATCAATCGTGTCACGCAGTAACCAGAATGGACTAAAGACTTAACTTTCACATCAGTTATTTAATGATTAAAGAGTTTGGAAGGCTTTCTGGAAGACCCTTAATGTTAAATTTAGATAGGAGTTTCCCCGGTTCGATTGGCTCTTTAGAGAAGTGAAATATCCTTTGCTTGGATGTGTGATCTTTGTACAATAAAAGAGATATAATCACTTAATGAAAGTTCTGAGGCCGATGTGCTACATTTTTTCTTACATTTAGCCAAAATATATTTGTTCCATTTTGTCAACATAACATTTTCAATGCTGTCTTTAACAAATAGTTCCTAAAATGAGTGTCAAAACATTAAGCGCATATGCAAATATTAATACTAAATGTTTCAACATATATTCCATTCATTAAATTTAATGTTGCCCCACCTTGTATGGTGGTTATGACACTCGGCTAGTAATCGAGTGGGATCGGGTTCGATTCCCGAATAAGGTATAGATGTATCTTCAGGAAATGAAGTCTGACTTTTTTTAGTCTGAAATGGAATCCCGTCTCGAATGGAAACGCACCCATTCTGTGTTCTATGCTGGATCATCGTTTGCAAAGAAGTTTAGATTCTTCTGTGATTGTATATTGCATGTTCTCTGTTCATCTATCTTTCGTATATATCCAAGAATGAAACACACGAGACAGCAACAACATTATATTTACTATAAAATAAAATGTACTAATATTCTAATCGACAGATTTACTTATTCCGGTCCTTGAAAATTAAGCTTTAGCAGTGTTATACTTATCTTCACAACAGTGTTTATAATAATGACGGTAGCCGAATTGTTTTGGCAGCGCACTTATAGCTGGATTTATTTTTGCCAAGTGGTTTATATTCAAGTTCTGGTGCGACTTAAGTTCAACTGTGTAGAGAAGGGATGGCGAATCAATGGCACGCGTGCCTTTGACGGAGAAACAATATTTTGGGGGCCCCTGATAAAAAATTTTTAAATTTTTTTAAAAAAAAAAGTTTTCAATGAAGTACACGTGGCCACCGTAAAAACAAACCCCCGAAGGAAGCAGCAAATAAATGAAATTTACAACATGCATTAGCGGAGGTGAGATATGCAAATGATTAAATTTCAGGCGACCCACATCACCCTGCCGTGGCGCCACCTCAAAGCACATTTAAGTCTTGCAGATTTGAGATTTCAAGTCCGGCAAAGGTTTTTTTGTTTTTTTCAAACACGATCAGTTATGTCTCGTATATAACAGCGATCAGTTTTTATCAATATCCGAGTTCGACAGAAGAAGGATAGGGCCTACCGAGATTGTGGATTTCTTTCCCGGGGAAACGGGAGTCTTGTTGGACGAAACCAAACAACTGCAATGCGGATATGCGACCGTTGGATGCAGGAGGGTATGACGGACTGACGAGGTCAATCGAATCCACCTCAGTGCACCACTTCACGTGAGGAAAGGCAAATTGTGCGCATGGCAGTGACGGATTGCTTAGTAACATCACGAACCATAGCACAGCACATTGAGTCTGTAACGCATCATTCAGTGTCTGCGCGTATCATTCGACGCCGTGTACAGCAGAGTGGTCTGTCTGCAAGACGTCCACTGCATGGTCTACCCTTGACGCAGAACCACAGGGTCTCCGCCACCAATGGTGCGATGAAAGAAGGATGTGGGTGGCAGAAAGGAATGAAGTTGTCTTTACTGACGAGTCACGCATCTGTCTGCAACACAACGATGGTCGGATTCGAGTCTGGAGACACCGTGGAGAGAGGATGCAGAACAGCTGCGTTATGCACTGCCACACTGGTCCTGCACCGGGTATTATGGTATGGGTTGGTATTGGATATCACTCTCGCACACACACTCCTCTAGTACGTATTGCCGGTACTTTAAACAGCCAGCTCTACATCACCGAGGTGTTGGAGCCAGTTGTCCTTCCTTACCTTCAGGACTTGGTCACAGCCATATTTCAACAGGATAATGCGCGACTACACGTGGCACGCATTGTCCAAAGGTTCTTCGTCAATCACCAGATTGAATTGCTCCCTAGCAGGCCTGCTCTCCGGATATTTTGTCGATAGAAAACATGTGATCCATGGTTGCTCAACGATTGGCACAGATTACACCCCCAAAACCCACACCAGATCAAGTTTGGTAACGTGTGGAAGCTGCCTGGTCGTACCCCAAGAACACATCCAAACTCTCTTTGAATCAATGCTGAGGCGTGTGTCAGCTGTGATCTTCAACAATGGCGGCTACTCTGGCTACTGATTCTGGTAGGAACCACACTTCACAGAAGTCTATAAATTTAATCATTTGATACTTGGTCAACATGTTATCTACAAAATAAATTTTGTTCTGCTATCTCTTGTGTTTCTTGGTGTTGCATTTACGGTGACCAGCAGTGTATTACTAACAAACACGAGTGATCGGGCGTGGGGCGGAGGCGGGGGGAACTTGTTTATTTTGCATTTAATCAAAACTAAAGTTCTAATCTTCAACAGAAGAAGTCACATTAATATTACTTTAATTTGAATTTCACCGTATAACTAAAACATTTACAACATTACAGTGTAAAATGTATTTTTTTTTGTACTAAATGAAGAGTTTTGAGTTGTTAATATTTGTTTGTTTTTTATTTGCCCAATACTCGCAAGTCAAAATTATTTGAGTGCACGTCTAAATCTCATTAAACATTTCGTCAGAAAAAATGGCACTTTGATCCATAAAGGTTCGCCACCCCTGGTGTAGAGGATCTGATCCATGTCGTGGCTCAAAATCCTCCTGAAAATATGCTAGTCCAAAAATTGAATCATCCGTTGTTGTGGTTCAAAATTATGAGGGGTTTGTCACTAATAGCCCTCGTGTTATTTCTAAGTGCGACATTAATAAATTATCAGATTTACATTGCCTTTAAAAACTAACATAACTCCTTCGATAGTTTAAATTAAAATATTTATCTCTCTTTTCGGAACATAGAATATAAGGAAAATAATGTCCATACAATAGAAAACATTTTTTTAGCTCATAAAATAATCAAATAAGAATACTTAGGAAACTATTCATAAAAGTAATTTCTTTCAAAAAATTCTAGTTAAATTGTAATTTAAAACAAATTTACTTGAACTATAGTAATGATATTTCATTATATATTTTCCGCTGAAAATGGATAATTCTAAAAAATAGGAAAATATATTACCAACCACTTAAAGCAATCCAGAATAAATTCATCACATCGCCTTATTAAATGCCTCAAAATAAGTAGTGCGTGTTTAATTTATACCAGATAGTCTGCTTATCTCTATGGTAGTACTATAGAGCAGAGGTAGGTAAACTTTTCTAGGGTACGCGGGCTATTTCTAATTTTTTTCAAGATGTTGTGTCCACCCAATCGCGTAGGTGTGGTGAACTGAGAAAAATGTCCACAAAATTTATTATAACTTAATAATAAATACAGAATATGTACTCTTATACGTACACATAACTACAGTAAAAAATGTTTACACTTTTATATATATATACCTATAAGTCCGCGTTTAAACAGAACGCGAGAAACATAATAATACTAATAGTCACTCAAAATAATACAGAGAAAGGGAAACATTTTAACCTAAATTTAGTTATCTTAGTTATATTCCGCAGAAGAGTCAGTCTGCAAAATATTCACCGATCTTGAATATTTCAGTGTATAAATACTTAATGCTAATCTTCAAGTGGTCACCCTAAAATATCTTGGCGGTCTCCAGGTCGATCGCGGTCGACTTAATTCTTACCTCTGCTATAGATTTTATATAGAAATTGTCCTGCAGTATCTGGTCAGCTGATGTATCCTTATTCAATAATTTGTGAAAATGTTGGTTGAAAATTTGAAATATATTCAACAGCAATTGGATGAATTTTCAAGCCAAAAGATATACGTAGAAGTTTGGCTTTTACTCTACGCGCTTGTAGATCAATCGTTAAACATAAAAAAATATTTTACAAGAAAGAATCTTCAGTTTTAAAGGACGTGATCCGTTTATATTCCGAAATATACGTAATCTGAAAACAATTGATTCCGAAAAAAATAATCTATAACAAAGCTGTTTATAAAACATGGTCAGCCGGCGTTATTCTTTTGTAGCGACTACTAAACTTTTTATTACTGGAACATAAAACAGAAAGGTAACCTTTATGACTCCACTCATTTTCACTTAAGCTGGACTAGATTCTTTTAACTGTCATTGTCTTTGCCGTATATTGTAATCTGTACCTGTAATATCATTCTTCTTTTCCCGTTCCTTAAATTTATATACATTGTAGGTTCCATTTTATATGTTTAATTATTTCATCAATGAGGCTTTGTTCTATTTTTAAAGAAGAGATTTATTTAAAATGTATGATATTTTTAAAGTTTTCAGTTTTGATCACTTTGGAGCATGAAAATAGTTTTTATGATGATATTTTTTGGAAATTCATTTTAAAGGTCCAACAATTTTAATTATTGAAATAAAAAAAATAGTTAAAAAAAATGAAAGGAATAAAATTTATAGAAGGAAAGTGTTGACATAAAATTAATATCTCTGGTTAAATGTTACTATAATGCATGCCTTCAGAAAGTGTTTCGTGGCCGCGGTAGCCGAGTGGTATAGGTATCGGATCGTGGCTTGCCTTGTCACGAGTTCGAGCCCATTACCACGAAAGACCCGCCGTGTCGGGCAGCAATGCACGTTAAATCTGTCGAGAGCTGAAACGTCCTCCCGTTGGTGTGGTAGTTAGGAGAGGGGTTGCAGCTCAGATGTCGTCCACGTCACTTGACCATGGTTCAAAATGACGTGGTCCGTCGCCAAAAACCCTCGTGTAGCTGAACAGTGCGACGTTAATATTCAATCAATCGGAAAATGTTTCATGTACTTTTAGTGATCACTACTTGCTTTTAGCGTATTTTACAATATTTTCTATACGATATTTGTTGAATCTAAAAATATTTACGTAAGGAGAATAAACTTAAACTTGTTACTCATGAAATACTATAGGAATAATTTTGGAAAGTGTTACATATATATCTATTGTAAAGCTATATATATATATATATATATTTTGTAAAATCAAAGATATAAACAATAGCACGATATTCCTTATAAATCTATTGCATTAGTGTATTCTATAAAGGAATCTATGCATTATCATTTTTCTAAGCTGATTTTAATTGCGTCTCATTTGCATATATCCTTATATTATATTCCTCATTTTTTAGCTTGTTCTAAGAAAATTCCTGATGTTTCTTTCTGTTTAGTCGTTAACTTGAATAGATTCTAGAAGGAATCTCTGAAAAAAATGAGAGCTAACTCATTGAAGGCAGACAAGTATTTTTGTTATCATTTGTTTTTATTTACATATGAGATTCGGATTGGAATTATTTGTATAAAATAACATAATTCATTTTCTTTTCTATTTTTTACTATATTAATACTAGGGAAATGAGATGGATAATTGATAGT